GAGAGAGAGAGAGAGCAAGAAGGAAGTAGGCTCTCCCGAAGTGGGTTCATGTTCACCTAAAGTGGGGACCCAGCTCACCCGACGTGGGGCCTGAGCTCACCTGAAGTGGAGTCAAACTCACCTGTTATGGGACTCAAACTTACCATGAGATCATGACCTGAGCTGACGTCAGATGCTTAACAACTGAGCCACTCAGGCACCTGTGCCTCCCTCCACCCCAGTCTTTTCTGTGTCCAATTTTTCATTTTTATGAGGATATCAGTCATGTTGGATTAGGGTCCCACACTACAGTATGACTTCATGTTATCTTAACTGATTATAGTTGCAATGACCCTATTCCCAAATAATGTCACGTTTTGAGGTACTAGAAGGGAGGAGGACTTCAACATATGAATTGGGAGGGCACAGTTTAATCCCAAACAGGGTTCAACTTCATTCTTTTGTATATGGATGTGTAGTTCCATTTTGCATATATTTGAAAATAGCACTGTAAGTTTTTAGAGGTGGAATTACTGAGTCAAAAGGTTATGTACATTTAAAATTTTGATAATACCAAAATATTCCCTTACACTGCTATTTTCACATATATGCAAAATGGAACAACAGAGGATCTGAAGCGGGTTCTGTGCCAACAGCAGAGAGCCCAATGCAGGGCTTGAACTCATGAACTGTGAGATCATGACCTGAGCTGAAGTCAGATGCTCAACCTACTGAGCCACCCAGGTGCCCCTTTTAAATTAAGGTTTAATCTTGTTAAGTTCCTCAGTAGTATTTCATGGGTTTTTTTCCACATTTCTTCATGTTCTTGAATATTTCTTATCAACATTGTTTTCGGATATTGTATCTTTTTTGTTGATATTGTAAACCAGGTCTTTTCTTCAATTTTATTCTCTAACTCTGAAGTCTATTGTAGTCTTGCCCTGAATCTTCAGGACAAGTTCACATATTTAACTTCAGGGAATAATCCACCCCCCCCGCCCCCCGCCCCCACATTCTCCTGAAAGGTTTTCATCAGGTTGGATAAGTTCTGCTTTCTCACCCTAACATGATTGGGGAAGATAACCTTGCTCCTGCACCTACTTCCTATTTTCAAGAGGTATGTGTCCCTGCTTAGTGGCTTCCCTGCCTCTCTTTTATTCCCTTCTGGGGAGATGGCAGAATGGAATTATTGCTCTTAAGAATAGTAAGTGGGCTTTCTGTTCATTAGCTTGATTAAGTGCTGGTCATCCATATGTGTGGCATGTCACTATAATGGGTACAATGCTTCTTTTTACTGATGTCTGCAGTGAGGAGACAGAAGTTTCTGTGGTTGCTATTCAGTGGTCATTACAGAAATCCTGGTGGCTGTGGGTGGTAGTGTTAGTCACCTCTACACCATCATGGAGACTAGAACCTAGAACCTAGTATGGAATCACAAAGCTGGAACGTCCAAGGCTGTCATTTAAAGATGAGGGAGTAAGAACCAGTGAACTCAGGAACAATGCTACAAATGATCTGCTTTAAGTGGGAGAGTGATCTGTGGCCCTGACTCTGGGCCCCAACTCTTTGTATCATGATGAGAGAATAAGCTGTATAGGATTGGTGGGATAATATAAAACTCTAGTGAAGGAAGAGTTTTCAAAGACCATCTACTTTATTTCCCTGACTCTTGGCAGTATTTATCTATGTTTTATTTTTAAATATCTCCAGGATGTATGACTCCTTCTGTCTGCCCTCTAGTCACCATTTCTCCATGTTTGTATAGTAGTTTATATATTTAGTGTCAGACTTATTCCTGCAGTTTGAGCAGGACTTGTGTTTTGACTAAGAAGCATCATGTTTTAGTTTCATTTTCTCTCTCTTGTGGATAATTAATTTTTATCTACCTGTAGGGCTCTTCATTCCATCTGGAAATGCTGTTTTTATTACAGGAGGGCTCTGGGCCACTGTCCAAGGCTCTGGTTTGGAAGATGTTAGCCTGGTGTTATTTGGATCTCAGTCTTGTGCCATCAATATCACCACAAACAATTCAAGAAGAATTCAATGCAAAGTTCCACCCAGAGTAAGTGGAATCTCCTCCCTGGGTGGGTGACCACTATTAGCGTGTAGTGTAAGGTTTTTCATGAATCCTTTCTTAGAACTTAATTAAGTAACATTACCTTTTCATTATGAGAGTATGGTAATATTGTTTATATTGCCTATGCTGCAATAAAGTGGGAGTCTGACTCCACCAATGGGGCTTGCAATCACCATCAGCTTATTTCTTTTAAAAGAAAACAACCACGTTCCCAGTTCACACTCTCAGTGAGTAATAGTGCCACAGAATAAACAAATTTATCTATATTGCATGTATATTATCTCATTTCTCTCTTTAGCAAGTAACAATAACCGTTTTCACCAGCAGTTTTGTTTTCTGGCATGGATATGAATGGTGGAACTTAGAAACTTCTAGAATGTCTGGTTCCTATAAAATACCTTCGTAATTATTCCTTACTATTTCCCCTTTCCCTTTTTAAAAACAAGCCCCTTAGCTTTCCCTTTCTTCTTCACTTAGTGCTATCTCATAGCCTATGAGGTGATTTGAGTCCACATTCTTCCTGGTGCTGCTGATGGCAGTTATGCTCACAGCGGTAGTTGAAATATCTATTCAGAGTTGACTTCAATGTCATCAACATTCTCAGCACATCCATAACCCTGAAGGATGAGTGTTTACTGAACAAATAAAGATCCCTGGAAGGGAGGTTTCAGAATCATCTTTGATCTCTGGTCCCACGTTTTTATATTATCCAATTATTCAAATATTATGAAATGTTCACATGTACATATAAACTGTATGGAATTCCAATATATAGTTGTATCATAACTTGTTTAACAATTCCCTATTATTGTATATTGAAATAATTTTCAAAATCTCTTTTTTAAAAAGTTCATTTATTTTGAGAGCAAGAGAGAGTGTGCATATAAGCAGGGGAGGAGCAGGGAGAGAGGGAGGGAGAATCCCAAGTAGGTTCTGCAATGAAAGTGCAGAGCCTGATGTGGGGCTTGATCCCACAACCATGAGATCATGATGACCTGAGCTGAAATCAAGAGTTGGATACTTAACTGGCTGAATGAACCAGACACCTCTCAAAATTTTCAGTTTTAAACAATAAAAATTTGATCGTTCTCAAAAGTGTATTTTCAAGCATATTTACTTTTCTCAGGATAAATTGATCTAAATTTTAAAGCTTTTGTTATGTAGTATCCAGTTATCTGAAATTTCTTTTTAATTTGTATTCCCACCATCACTGGGTGAGTGTTTCATTTCTGACATAGTCAACACTGGGTATTATTGCTTTCATATGTATTTACTATTTAAAGGGGTAAAATTTGCATGGCTTCGATTTCTTTTGCTAGAGAGAATAAGCATTAAAAAAAACCTTAAATTTTGATCAAAGTTATATATACAAAGGTTAAAAGAAAAATAGTAAAACAGTTATGCTTTCCTACTCCTTAGCCCTCTTCCACAAGTCCCCTTTTTGAAGCATCTCCTTTTAATTCCTTTGAATGCAGTTATAATATCATTTCTTTTTTAAATCAATAAATTGCTAAAACTATTTAAATGATGTGGGAAGCATCAGGTAATATTTTTTCTTTTATAGTTTTTTTTCTTGAAATTTCTAATTCTTTTTCTTTGTATGTCTTCTTTATAATAAAAATCTATTGTAAAAAAATTAATCACATCAGTTATTTTTTTCCATGAAGCTCTTTGTTCTCGTTTCAATCTAACTTGGTGTTTTCTTGGTTTATTTCATGTATTTCTTCTTAGCACTGCCCTTGATTGCTCGCCTGGGTAGATACACTTTCACAGTTTATATCTTCCTTTTTTTGGGGGGGCGGTTTGTTATGAGGTCCTAGCCTAAAGAAACATCCTAGGAAAGAATACGTGGGAGCGAAGTTTTCTGAGTTACTTACATGTCTGAAAGTTTGTCATAATTGATGGATAGTTTAGCTAGGTATAGATGTTTATTTGAAATTGCAGTTTTTTGCAGAACCAATTGGTGTGCTAATTGTAAATCATTCTTATTTACTCTTTGATCAGTAATCATGATGCCACACTTGCCTATTCTAAGTACTTGTCACTGTGTGTGTGTGCACGCGTGTGTGCGAGGTGGAGACTTGAAAGTACCAATACACTTAAAAATCTTTTTTCTTGAAATTAACCCTTTAAACTAATTCTATATGGACTTCTCTCATGTTAGTCTTATTTTCAGAAGTTTGATTTTAAAAATTGATTTTTCAGGGGAAAGATGGACCCATTGTGAATGTGACTGTGATCAGAGGGGACCATTCTGCTGTTCTTCCCATGGCATTTACATACGTCTCCTCTTTAAATCCAGTGATCATTTCTCTGAGCAGAAACACAAGCAGTATAGCAGGTAAAATACATGGTATTGCAGCATCCTTTTATTTTTAGACCATTGATCCTGTAAAGAAGACAAACAATGGTCTCTTAATTATACTGAAGATAGTATTATATTTTGGATGGAAGTTATTTTTCTCAAAACTAGAACATCGCTTATTTCAGCCATCACTGAATAAATCTTATGTTGGTATTTGCCTCTGTAAAACTGGGACCATTTATACCATGAAAACGACATGAGAATTCAAAGATAATAATTCAATATATATTTATTCAGCACCTACTATGTACTAATGATAGCACAGGCATAATAGACTTTATTCTTTACCACTAATTTACAGGATTATTATCTGTACTTTACAGGTAAAAAAACTAAGGAACAGGAAACTTAACTTGTCTAAGATGTTACTGTTAGTAAGTAACAGAGCTGTGATTTGAGCCCAAGCAGTCTGGATGCAGATTCCAAGGAGTTAACCACTCATAGTTTAGTGTAAAATACCAATGTTTTTGGCATCAAGTTCAATTGTAGCAGATGTTTGATATGATTAGAGAATAGAGTGTTCTGATTAACCAAGAATTTTTATTCCTTGAAACATACTATGTATAAAAATACATAGTATAGAACTATGTAAAACAATGTAGTCTTTCTTCGATAATTCAGATGATATGACAAGATGGATTTGTAACAACATATTGTCATGTCATACCATATCAATTTGAAAAAGTTCCAGCTAATGTGCCTTTCTGGTTAACTGAATGCCATATAACAGAGAGTTTATGGCAGCCATATCTAAGAATTTTATTACAAAAGGCCAATATATTTTCCAAAGAAAAAGCCTGGACTCAATTTTTCTGATACTGTTTTCATTTTCCATTGCTCCAGAGTACATAAATAAAAGGAAGTGTCCTTTAGCTTCTCAAAATTATTCAGCTCAGTGCAGAAGAAGAATTTGCTGCCTCAGGCCACCAAAGTGTGTAAAATTCCTTAGCAGTATAGATTCTTCCCAACAAAGTAGGAAAGAGAGGAGGGAGTTCTGTATTCTATTCAGATTTCAGTGATTTTGGCTTTTAATACAATTTCCTACCTGTAATGAAAAGAATAAATACATTGCATCAGTGCCTCAGGGGCATCTAGGATTAGCTTGACAATTGACCAAGAAACCAAGGCGTTCATGTAATTGATATATACAACATGATGCATTATTTGCAGAATTTACACTTACATTTAAATCTTTCTACAGGCAGAATAAAGAGGAACACTTTATAAAATCTCCAAAGAGTGGTTCCCTATTGGGAAAGTCTCCTTTGAAAGCTGGAATGTTACAAATCTCCATCCAGGAGATGATGATATTGATGATAACAGTGAAATCAAGATGAAATTGAAGGAAGAAAGGAGGAGGGGCAGGGAAAAGGGGAGGAAGAATATGATGTGCAGAACCATTTGTGTGGGGTTTTGCAGTTAGGCAGCCCTGGATATGAATGAATCCAAGCTCAACCACTCCTTGGATAAGATGTTTAACTTCCTTTATCTTTAGTGTCTCTACCTACTATCTGGGAATAATTCTTTCAAGGTTATTGTGAAAATTGGAGGTAAAGGAGGTAAAAGTACTGAACTCAGGAACCCACATGGAGTAAATACTCAACAAACACTTTGTTGAATAAATGGCATCATTCTGCCAGATCCTGAGTGTTATATAGATAAGCCAAAGATGTCTTGTGTATATTGACCCTATATTTTTTACTTCTTGATAGCAGGCTGGTACCCATTTGTTCAAAAACATGCCAGTATCAAACTCAAATTTTTATATAACCAATTATTAAAAAAAAATTTATTTTTGAAAGAGAGAGAGAAAGAAAGAGAGTCCCAAACAAATTGGGAAGCTCAATTCCACTCACCACCCTGGGATTGTGATGTGAGCCAAAATCAGGACTTGGATGCTTAACTGACTCAGCCACCCAGGTGTCCCACATAACCAATTATTTTAAATATAACCTCCCTCAAATAGATTTTTAGCCTTTTAGAGTCTGTTCCTTTTGCATACCCTGCAAAATTATAGTGTCTGCTAGTGATAGGTAAGATAAACGGGGGCTGTAAGAGATTATAAACCACTGATGCCTTTGGAGGTCTCCACCCTAGAGACTACTCCTAAGTGACATCATCTAGACACATAAGCCCCCTCTCCCTGTCTACAGGGACTTCCTTTGCCTTCCTCCCCTTCTGGGTGGTGGTCTCCTATTGTTTCCTCTGGAAGGTCTCATGCTGTGAGATTTTTGCACCCATGTAAATCTGTCAAAGCACCACCATTTAAAGCTCCTTTTCATATTATTGCCACCTCATGGTCATGCCTTTTTTCTGCTCAACCCTGAAGTCCTTTCAGGTCGCTACACTGAGGCTTCAGACTTCATAATAGAAATGAGGTTGGATGTACAGAAGTAAGGAGGATGTGGAGCAAGGAAGAAAATGAAAGTTAATGGAGGACTTTTGAATGAAACTGTCCTAGGATATCTAACTTAATCCTTACAACAAACCAGATGGGGTGGACTTTGTTACCATCTTACTGATGAAAAATTTAAGACTTTGAGAGCCCACAGTGAGTCATCCAGACTCACACAGGTGGGAAAATGGCAGAGCAAGGATTTGCATGTAGGGTCAGTCTTCCCAACACCCCACAACCCCTTGTCTTTGACTTTTCTCTTTCAAATAGCTTCTTCTCCTCCTCATCTGATTGGCTGTGCAGTTCTGTAGATGCCTGCTCTGTAGTTCTCAAATGTCAGCTGCTAAAGGAGCTTTAGAGATGCTTTAGCCTAAGCTGTGTCTCTGTGAGACACATGAGAGGTATGTACATTTATTTCCACTCTTGCCATTGCCTTCTCAATTTCTGGCTCTTGTTGAATTCCGTTGTCTGAAGACTGGATTTCTCCTTCCCTATCTCTCCAGTTAATCTAATAGACTGGAAGAAAGCTTCTATCTTATCCTTTTCTTGCTTAGAAACCTTTGGAAATCTCTGCTGTCTACTAAATTAGGTAAAGACCCCTTACAATTGCTTTCTTGGTCTTTAGCCATAGACTCCCCATCAACTTGGCCTCTTCCCATAGAGTACATGACTATGTACATGTGTCTGATCTTCCAGAAAGTCACCCAATTCTCTTTCTTTCTTTCCAAGCCACTGGAGGTTTAACATTTTTTTTAACATTTATTTATTATTGAGAGAGACAGAGCATGAGAAGGGGAGGGGCAGAGAGAGGGGGAGACACAGAATCCTAAGTAGGCTCCAGGCTCTGAGCTGTCAGCACAGAGCCCAGTGCAGGGCTCCAACTCACAAACTGCGAGATCATGACCTGAGCCAAAGTCAGACATTTAACCCACAGAGCCACCCAGGGGCCCCAAGCCACTGGATGTTTAAATGAGAAAATGCTCCAAAAGACTTTGGGTAAAACTATGAAGTTTTTAGAGTTGAATTGTAAACTGCCTATTCTTTATCGCTTCCTCTGGGGATTCATTTTTCTTTTTTTTTTTTTTAAATTTTTTTTTTCAACGTTTATTTATTTTGGGACAGAGAGAGACAGAGCATGAACGAGCGAGGGGCAGAGAGAGAGGGAGACACAGAATCGGAAACAGGCTCCAGGCTCTGAGCCATCAGCCCAGAGCCTGACGCGGGGCTCGAACTCCCGGACCGCGAGATCGTGACCTGGCTGAAGTCGGACGCTTAACCGACTGCGCCACCCAGGCGCCCCTGGGGATTCATTTTTCAAGTAGAATTTCAAGCACCATCTTGCCCACGAGGTCTTTCTTAATATTCAGAATGTCGCTGTCGTTTGAATAACCGCACTGCTTAATTTTTATCTCTCGTGTGTCATGTCTTGTACTGAAGCTATTTTGGTACCATTGTGCCATCTTTGAGGTTTCTTTCAAGGCAGGGTCTGTGTTTAACTTTTTTTTGTGCCCTTTGTGGCATCTCCTTCTTGGCACTCAATAAATATTTAAGGTAAAAGGAATTGAATTGAAGTGTTCATAGCATATATGACATTTTAGTGAAATTGATAATTAAATTAAAAAGGTATTGAAATATAAGAGAAGACTGGACTTAGGCCTTGATATTTCCCTTAAGTAGCTATCAGACATTGGCTGCCAAACCTTAGTTTCGTCAAAAGCGAAATGCCATTTCTACTACCTGCTCTGTGTATGTCATGAGGATAGCGTGAGGGTGAAATGAGACGGTGTGTGTGAAAGTGGTCTGTGCACGCTGTGGTACCGCACTCCTGTACAATTTTAAGCGGTTCAATACACGCAGACATCGAGCTTTGTACTTGTATCAGCAGGAAAGTGCAAGTTAAAGAAAGGGCTTTGCGGTGCTGTGTGCTGGTTGTGAAGACCATCAGCTCCCCAAACTACTTCTTGATTTATTTTCGCCCTTGATTTGCATTTCTATGGTGTTAAATTAGTGCCTCTTGAGTACAAATGTCCTGGCAATTGGGATTATAGGTGGTGGTTCTATTATATAAGAGTTGTTAGAAGTTTTATGATAAGAGTTGTTAGAAGTGAGATTGGTATTGAAATGCTTGTTTGGAGTGTTATACACAGGACCGATCATGCATTTAATCCTGAAAGATAGGTTTAAAATCCAAGAAGTGGTTGAGGCCACAAATTCGCATCACAGAGGCTAATGCATTGTTTTTAACACAGGAGGTGAGACCCTCTTTATTGGAATGGCACTTCTGGTGAACTACACAGATTTGGATGTGGAAGTTTGCATCCAAGACACCGTGGCTCTGGTTCATGTACAAATGGCTCGGGGTCTGGAGGTGGTGCTGCCCCCGCTGCCTGTCAGTCTCCATAGAATCTCAGTCTCCATCAATGGGGTCAGCATTCGCTCACAAGGGTGAGGTGCACACTTGCCATTAATTTTAGGTCTTTTTGCTGGTCTAGTTTCAGTTGAGGAATTCTAGTTTTGAGTTAGATCTTCACTTTTTCCCCTACTTCTGAAGTTAGGGTATAAACACATGAGAATCATGCAATTTGAAGAAATCTTGGAGACCCTATAGGATGATTCACTCCCAAGACCAATCCAAGGGAAATGTTTGACTTAATAGTTGGGGAACAGAGAACTTTCAGGAACTAAGATGTTATGGCTTTTGGTGAAGGTGGGGGTGGGGTGAGCATCTCTATGTGTTGGAATATTCTGTGCTTTAGTTTGAGTCTGTGATTAAATAAGACCTTCAATAAGTTTGTGTCTGGGGCTTTGAATAAATGGCTTACAGTTATTGCCAAAGCCAATCTCAGATTGCCTTTGCCTTTAAGTCCCTCAGCCCAGTATTTCTCCAGAAGTTGCCTCCCCGCATTCCAGAAAGTTGGCTAACCTGTATGGGCTGATGCCACCACATGATACAGGCCAAGGAAGATGTCCCACACAACATTTTTCCCCCACTGTGTCCTTTCTTCTCTGTGACAGTTCCATTGACAGTTGTCTCCCTCACTGCTTCATATCTGTTCTTCTCCTCCCTTTCTCTCTTTCTAAAACAGTTATTTCATATCAATTTCCCCATTCTCTGCAGGGTTGATCTTCACATCCGGTACATCACAGACGTTTTCAGCATGGAGCCTTGCTGTGGTTCTCTTCTGGGTGAGTGATTCTTGTATCATTGATTCAGCAGGTGTACTCACTGGATATTCAGGTTTTGTTCCTGGATTTGAACCGATGAGACCAGTAATCGGGCGGCAGGGAGAGGGGCTTTCCTTGTGCTCTGGGAACTGAGTGGTGCACTTACAAGGGTGTGAAAACTTGGTGATTCTTTAGCCCAGTAAGCTCAGGAAAATAAAGAATTTTCATGAAAAGAAGATGTGCCTGGTTTTGTTTTTCTAGGGGAAAGAGGCTGAAGCATCCAATGGGTAGGTAGCGTACGTCTGGAGGATATTAGAAAAACAAGGGAAGAGCATTTTACTTTAGCCTTTTATATACTGCATGTGTAAGGAGAGGAGGAAGGAGTCTGGTGGCTTCACTTTCCTCTAGAGATTCAGGTGAAGGACCCAGAAGTGGTTAGAAGCACAAGCCAATATGGGAGATGTGAGGAGAAGACAGAAATCGAGAAAACTATTCATTTTTAGAAAAAAATTTAAAAATCTATATATTTGCATGTGACTAAATCATTGTGATAGTGTATGAAATAACACTTGCTCCTTTTTGAGTATAATAAATCCTTTAAAAAAAATTTTTTTAAATGTTTGATTTATTTTTGAGGCAGAGAGAGACAGAGCATGAGCAGGGGAGGGGCAGAGGGAGAGGGAGACACAGAATCTGAAATAGGCTCCAGGCTCTGAGCTGTCAGACAGAGCCCGACGTGGGGCTCGAACTCACAGACTGAGATCATGACCTGAGCCGAAGTCGGATGCTCAACTGACTGAACCACCCAGGCACCCCTAGTAAATCCTTTTTAAAGCTGATTGCCTCAGGGCACCTGGTGGCTCAGTCGGTTGAGTGTCTGACTTTGGCTCACGTCATGATCTTGCAGTTCGTGAGTGCGAGCCCCGTGTCGGGCTCTGTGCTGCCAGTTTAGAGCCTGGAATATGCTTCAGATTCTGTGTCTCCCTCTCTCTCTGCCCCTCCCCCACTCATGCTCTGTCTCTCTGTAAAATAAACATTAAAAAAAAAAGCTGCTTGCCTGTGCCACAGGTTTAGGTATGAGGTACCTTGCTCTAATCCTGAAGATGGGGCTTGATCATCCCTCAACTAGAGAGAGAAAGTCTAGGAATATAGCAGCAGGATTATGAGCATGTTTCAATATTTCAGTGTCCCTTGATATGTTTCAACACACAGACATATACCTACGTAATATATGGACTATGGGAATATATACTCTGCATAATAACATATAGAATAATCTGGGACAGTATGTGAGATCACATAGCAAATGACAAGAAGTCTAGGGAATTTGATTTTACATTATTGTATATGTTATATATGTACATATATTCTGTCTACGTAATATATTAGAACATTAGGGACCAACATGTCTGATAACATAGCAGATGACAAGAACACTTCAAGAAATTAGATTTTTCATTAGTGTAAAAGTTGATAGAAGTGGCTTCTAGGGTTTATAAATACATATGACATTTTTTTGCCTTAAATATCATAAACATTGTTCACCTGTATAACAATTTATATTGTTTTACTATTATGTGAATTTCAGCCCATCTAACTCCTGCCAAAATGACAAATTTAATGTTGATGGGGTAAAGCAAAATAGCTGAGGTTTCCCTAACACCCCACCTTCCACTTAATTGTGCTGTGGTTAGACAGATGCTATGAGTTCCTAGTTCTGAATATCAGGTTTTAAGTTTTGTTTTCGATGTTCATGCTTTAGGTGGAACCATCCTCAGCATCTCGGGAATAGGGTTCAGCAGGGACCCAGCGTTGGTTTGGGTGCTTGTGGGTAATCGGTCCTGTGACATCGTGAACTCTACAGAGTCGATCATCTTGTGTGAGACCCCACCCGCTGCCCTGCTGCCTGATGCAAGCGTTCCTGCCCTGCCAGCCCCTGTGGAGGTCTGGGCTGGCAATGTGTCCTTTGCCCAAGGACCTTCACCAAGCCCTGTGGGGAAGGGCTTTACCTTCATGTATGAAGCAGGAGCAACACCAGTGGTCACTGCCATGAGAGGAGAAATCACGAATAGCAGCCTGAGGCTCTATGTGGAGGGAAATAACCTGTCCAACTCAGTGATCCTTCTGGGGGTCTTGAACTGTGATCTTAAGACACAGTTTTTAAGGAACAACATGAGCCTGTCTTGGTGCTCTTTTCCTCTTCACCATTTGGAGGCCGGCATCTATCCTTTCCAAGTTCGTCACAAGCAGATGGGGTTTGCTAACATGTCTGCAGTGCCCCAGCAATTTGTGATGACACCTCGGATAACAGCTATCTGGCCAACACATGGGTCTGCTTGTGGTGGGACAATACTCACAGTGAGGGGACTAGCTCTCAAGTCTAGGAATAGGTCAGTTCATGTTGACCTTTCAGGGCCTTTTACTTGTGTGATTTTGAGCTTGTGGGACCAGACAGTCCTGTGCCAGATTAACAGAGTGGGCGACCCCTTGCCTGATGCTTCCTTCACCCTGAACATCACAGTCCTGGTCAATGGGCTACCCAGTGAGTGTCAGGGCAATTGCACTTTTTTCTTTCAGGAAGAGACAACGCCCATTGTGGATGCCTTGACCACTAACATCAGTGGGTCTCTGACCATGGTGCTGATTAGGGGTCAGATGTTGGGCATCACAGCAGATGAACCAATGGTGTTTGTGGATAATCACCTTCCCTGCGTTGTAACTTTCTTTAATGCAAGCCATGTTTCATGCTGGATAAGTGACTTGACCCCAGGACTCCACTATGTATCCGTTGTTCATACAAGAAATGGATATGCTTGTTTTGGTAATGTTTCCAGACACTTCTACATTTTGCCTCAAGTGTTTCATTATTTCCCCAAGAATTTCAGCATACATGGTGGAAGCCTCTTGACCATGAAGGGCACAGCTCTGAGAGGAGAGAACAGCACACTAGTCTACATTGGCCAGCAGGCCTGCCTGACAGTGAGCATCAGCACCAAGCTCATCCAGTGTGTTGTTCCTGCGGGAAATGGCTCTGTTGCCCTGGTCATAGAGGTAGATGGACTTTCATACCAGATGGGAGTCATTGGTTACAGCAATGCCTTCACCCCAGAATTCAACTCTATGTCTCAGACTGATGACATCTTAACCTTTGTGGTGGCCCAGATCTCAGGAGCAGCAAATGTTGACATTTTTATTGGGATGTCACCCTGTGTGGGTGTCTCTGGCAACCGCACGGTTCTCCAGTGTGTGGTCACATCCCTTCCTGCTGGGAAGTACCCAGTCAGAGGTTACGACCGCTCAAGAGGGTGGGCCTCATCTGTCCTGGTGTTCACATCTACAGTCACTATTTTGGCAGTAACTGAGAACTTTGGTAAGTCAAACAAATAAGACAGATATCCTTCTTTATGTAAGTGAATTAATAGCTATGGTTACTACTCTAAAATATAGGAAATCAACCTCAATCTGAATGACAGAAGGAGAGAGAAGCCCAGTTGGCCTCTTATAGTCCTGGTTTCCTCCTTAAAACTTGTCTTTGTCACACTCCCTGTATGAGGCTTTGTTTTTTTTTTATCAAGGAATTTGTGCATATTCTTTAAGTGTGATTATATTTTAATTTGATTCATTACCCTGATTTAATTTGTGTCTTAATACTATTTGTAGGAGCTCAAAATTTGGTCAAGTAAGTAGAACATAGATGCCTTCACCTATTTTTAGCCATATATGCCAATTCGAATTAAACTTATTAAGTATCATTAATTTTTGTCACCTTGTAATATTTCACAGATTAATTCATACCCCAGCAGTAATAGTCCAGTTTCACACTATGGTTGCATTGGTTCAACTGTTTTTTCCTTTTATATATGTATACTGAAATTTGCCTTGCCTTTTCTTCCAGTGATGGTTTCGGTTTCTGTTCACGTAAAGCCTTTTTGCAGTTGAGATAGCTTAAATTTGACTATGATTCACAAAATACAGAGGAAATGATGGGAGCTGAATCTTACACTGATGAAGTGCTTGCTAAGCCAGTTCTTAGAACAAATTTGTCTGGGCTCAGCTGGGTGGAATGCTATAGGGATTGGGATTTTGGTCCCATGTCTATAGTAATTTACCTGGGTACCTTTTCTAAGCCTCAGCTTCCTCATCAGATAAAGGGGTTTAGGCTGGTTGCTCCCTAGTTCCCCTTTCTTCTAAGATTCCACAATTAAAAAAATTTTTTTTAATGTTTATTTTTGAGACAGACAGAATGCGAATGGGTTCACGCAGAGAGAGAGAGGCACAGAATCTGAAGTAGGCTCCAGGCTCTGAGCTGTAAGCGCAGAGCCTGACGCGGGTCTCAAACTCACAAGCTGTGAGATCATGACCTGAGCTGAAGTTGGACACTCAACTGACTGAGCCACCCAGGCACCCTTAACATTCCACGATTTTTATGATGTGAGAGCAGGGCTGTGAAATGTACCCTAAGCAAAGACTTATTCTCGGGTTTGTCAGGTGCCTGTGAGCATCTTGACATGAGGACAGTGGCCCCTGGAACTCTATCTCCTTGTGGACTAGAGGTTGCCACATGTCTGAGAGTCCAGCTGACATTTACCTTAATTGGTTCTCATACTGACACAAAACATGGTGTTTGTTAACAACTGTCGTACTTTTATCCATCTGAAATAGGTGCCGTCATACAGTGCTGGCAGGAGGGTAAACTGCTACAATCTTATTTTGGAGAGAAATTTGGTAATATCCATCAAATCCAAAACCTTCTTTTCCTTTGACCTAGAAATCCCCCTTCTAACAGTTTGCTCCAGTTTTATTCAAGTTAATGTACGGTTCATCAGCATTATTACTTGTCACAGGAGAGGAGAAATAAGGAAAGTGTCAATCAGTGGGAAAATTGCTAAATAAATTGTGGCACAATCATATAATGGAACTGTAAGTAGTGTATTTACATATACACATGGAAAATTGTATATGCTATATCTTTAAAAAAACAAATTCTTCTTGTAGAAGAATATGGATAGAAATATTTCTCTGCATAAAAATACATATGCTTAAATTCTGGAATGATTAATGAGAAAACAAACATGGCTCCCTCTGGGGAGTGAGCCTAGGGGGTTTAGGGGAACTTTTACTTCAATTGTATAGTCTTGTGTATAAAAAATTTTAAGAATGATAAATACACATTACTTTTCTATATAAAAAGTTATTACATTTTTATAGGTTGTTGAATATGATTGGAATCTGACAGAAGACGGACTTCAGGCTCTGGAGAACAGAGCTTAGTGGCAAGACACTAAATTCTATATCAGGAGCTTAAAGCCAGTTGTGTGGATTCTGGAGCGCATAAAAGGAATGATGGGCAGCAAGAAAGCATGGATTTGAATTTTGAGTTAACTAAAGAAAGAGAAATTTGCCTCTGTGATCATGAACTTCTATTTTGTTTTGAAGGCTGCCTGGGTGGAAGCCTTGTGCATGTGTTTGGAGCAGGATTTTCTCCAGGGAACATCTCAGCTGCTGTGTGTGGTGCTCCCTGCCAAGTCTTGGCTAATGCTACGGTGTCAGCCTTTAGCTGCTTGGTTCTGCCCCTGGATGGTCAGTAACAACACCACATATTTTTTTAAAGAGTGTATATAGAAATGATATTCTTTGGTTAAGTCCATTTCTGTAACTAATGCTGTCTTGATCCCTAACTTTTCTGTGTGTTCCTGTGAAGAGGATTTCTCTACACCCCATCTAAAAGGTTAGATGGGACTGCCTATTAAAATGGTTCACAGTAACTTTTATCCTATTAATGGCAATGGAAAATTGATCACCTATGTTCTCAATTGCAGTCATGTGACAGTGGGGGAAGTAATTCTGAGTTCTGAATATTAGTTTCACTGACAGCCTTAGGCATCATAGAGAAAACAATGTTTTGGTCTTGTTCTGAGATGGGATTGCTGAAAACATCTGCTTACTTGAGGTACTAGTATAGGAATTAGATAAGTAGGCTGGATAGCTCTTGCATATTTGCCTGGTGTGCTCAGTTCTTGAATTTTTATTATAAGCAAAAGAGCCAACATTAACATCATTTTCTTATTCTGTAATGCCCAGGTATTTATTCAGTAGAACACCATGATCTCTCACTGCTTAAAGCTTCATAGCCATCAAGTGAAATAGGAAGCTGTGTCTTTGTTAGAAATAAAGGTGTAAAGCTTTGGTAGTCCCATCATGTGCCATTACAACACATGGTGATTACCCACTGAACTTCAGAAGAAAAAAATCAAAGGGAAGAAATTGTCATCATCAGTATAGGACCTGCTTAGCCAGGTGATTAACTTGTTTGTATAATCATAAATCTTGTACCTGTGCACTTAGAAACCATTTGCATACATGCTTTCTGAATAGTGCTTTAAGTTATATTCTTAACTTATGTGTCTGCAACTTGAATGTGGGTGAAGGATTTACAAAGTGATCAAGGCATCACTGTATCTGAGTGTGGACAAAAACTCCTTGATGGGTAATTGATGATGGCAGTTTACATTAGATTATCTCAGGCAAGAAGAGGATGGAGAGTGAGAAAAGGAGGAGTTATGATCCTTGATTAAAATACAAACGAGGAATTGAGTTCCCTATCATAATATATATAAGAACACTTGGGATTCCACACTGGAAAACTTAAGATACACTGGCAGGTGCCTTAGTGGCTCAGTCAGCTGCGCGACTGACTCTTGATTTTGGCTCAGGCCATTATCTTGTGGTTCATGGGATGGAGCCCCTCATCAGGGTCTGCACTGACAAGTGTGGAACCTGCTTGGGATTCACTCTTGCTCTGCCTCTTCCCCACTTGCATGTCCCCACGTGATTCTCTCTCAAAAATAAATACACAGTAAAAAAAAGACACAGTAGATTTAAGTTTAAGACATTGCCTGTTTAATTCTCTACTTCCAGCATTAGACCCGTGCTGGAACAGTGCATGTGCAAAGTTAATGCTTGATGAAAGAATAAATGAAGGAATTGGGAAATGGTGGAAACAGAAAACCATGACTCCATATTTCTAGGTTACAATATTTAATTAATACAGCTACAGTCTTTTAAAAAGGCTTTCATACACAGCTTAAATTAATTTACTTTTAAAAAGTCCTTGGTATTATGTCAGGACAATTCATTTAGAAATACAAAATAAATATCACTGAAGTTTCTGGGTTAGATAAATTGTGGTATTGGAAGTTTGATAACTTATAGAAGAAGAAGGAATAGGAACTCTGTTATATTTTAAAAGTTTTGATTACATTTTAGGAAAGGACTTCTCAAAATTCCTTTTTTTTTTTTAAAGAAGGGAAACAGGAATTGGAATCTGTAACTCTGACCTTTGCCACTAGGTGTCACCAAACACTCACTGATTGTGCCAGAACTGCCATTGACTCTAGGGAAATGGATAATCGGAGTTATTTTCTTCTTTCATAAAGAAAGAAAAAGTCTTTTTAAAGACTTTTAATTACAGTGTCTAAAAATGGAGAGGAACTGAGGAATCCAACTCTGTTGGTTTCTTAAGATCCAGGATGGTACTCAAGGATTCTATCAACATCCTGAGTCATATAAAACAATTTGAGTACATTTTTGTGTATTTTTTTTTCTAGCAAGTAGGTCTATTATGGACATTGAATGATCCCAGAAAATGTGCCTCACAAATTGTTAGGAACTATTAGTAATTCCCTTACTTTCAGATAGGATTGCATATAACCAATTTAGTTAAGAATCTTGGTAGAGCAATGAGACTCTTGATCTCATGTTGGGTGTAGAGATTACTTAAAAATAAAAACTTTAAACAACAACAATGAAAAGAATCTGTTATATTTTAAAAGGTTTTTTAAGAGGACTGTTTCACCACAGAAACCTTTATATGTGTTTCTCCATTGCTGTTGTCAGAGCAATCCATCCTTTTATTTAACCAATGCACCCCTGTGCTCCTTTTTTTCAAATTTAATCATCTGCATAATCTCAGACCTTCTAATCCAGTGGTTCTCAAAGACATGAGAATTGCGTTATTACTATTGGGACTATATTATTATTAATGTTGCTGGAGCAGTTAGAAATGCAAATTTTGGGGCCACCCAATGAATCAGAAACTTTCCAACAAGTAAAGCCCTCTCTGAATTCCTACCTTTTTTCATAATTAGAAGAGTCAAACTAGGTAGCCCCTCTGTGTAAGCAAGTTCTGGCTCTATTGGGTGGCATCATGAGATGCCTGTGTATAATCCGGCACCGTATTTGTTTTTAAAATTGCACCGCTGTCTTGCTGGTTTATAATCTTACTGTTACCTACAATTATTCCAAGGTGATTTTTTTTCTTTCTTTCTGACATGGTTGTGCACAGCTGGATGTTCCTCATCTTATATTTACATGAGTTTTATTTTTTCTTTTGTGGTTACTGCCTTACTATTTTCATTCTTTTTTTTGTTTATTTCTATAATTTCTCTAATTTACTAAGGTCACTTTGAATTCCGACCCATGCTCTGAATTTTATTTCTTAGTGTGATTTTGCACACTAAAGTCATTCCAGTTTGTGGATGACAGCCTAGAACTCAAACTTTCCTAATTATTGTTTGGCTTGCTAACGTGTTTGCTTTCATGAGTGGGGCAGGGGCGGTGAAGGTGGGGCTCTGAGGAAATGCTTTTTGCTGCCTTTGGTGTCCTCTCTGTTTTACCTTTCTTCCTCAATCACACTTCCAACAAAAGATGAATTTTACTTTTTCATATGATGGGTGGCTAAAACATCTCATTCAGTGAAACTAATACTTTGTATTTTTTTTAAAAGCTCAGCAAGATCTTTGATGCACCTCTTTCTTGCATGTATACCTTGAATTATATGGCATGACTTATTCATGGAAACTCTAATTTTTCCATGAGGCATGACCAGCTAAAGTTATTAATGTCACTTAATCCACCTTGTCAATTTGCGTCCACCTAATCACCCATAATGAGTTCATTATTTTATAGGTGTTGAGCCTATGTTTGCCCAAAGGCTTACTAACTGGAAAGTTCTGATGTTTTATCCACCCATAGGAGAGTCCTACTGTCAGCTGATTTAATTGCTGTAATTAATTCCAGACACACAGAGAACCTACTATGTTTCAGGTGCTTTGGAATGTACCAGCAACCCTAATAATATTAGCATGTGATTGAACAACTACAAACATTCTTACATCTGCTTATCTCATGTACCCCTTGCTAGATGCAGCACTGTGAGATAGGCAGGGCAGCTGGGTTCGAGCCCATGGTCCCTGGTAATATTTGTTGCATACTTGCATTGGGGGTTCGCTGCAGAAGAAAGCTAGAGAGATTATTCTTTTTTTTCTTTTTCACTTTATTAAGGTTTTCAAATATAGCTGCTCCAAAACCATCTTATGTAGAGACTTGTTTATTTTCCTCTTTAAGGTTATTGCTGGTCTACCTTGTTGATGCTTTTTACGTTGTATCTCATTACTAAGAGAGAAATAGCTTAAGGGTCACAGGGCTTCAAAGAATTGCTTTTCTTCTTTATAAAACATGAATAGTCAAAATTAGGTAAAAATCAAGAGTTTCTGTTATCAAGAGATCCCATCATGAGAATGAAAAAGCTAGCCATAGATCTGGAGAAGGTATTAGTAACCATAGAACCTTCTAGGATTAGTACCCAAAATACATAAAGAACACAAACCAATATGAAAAAGACAAACATTCCAGTATAAAAAAAGGGCAAATGACAGAAATAGGAATTTCACAGAAGAGGAAATTGGAATTCTTACTGAACATATAAAAACTTTTTTGACTTAAAAAGTAATGATGCAAATGCAAATTAACATAGTAATGAGATGCCATTGTATTTGTACTGGACTGGCCACAATTAAGAGTCTGATAGTCCCAAGTGCTGGTAATTATGTGGAGTAATGGAAACTCACTAATAAAGCTGGTAGGAATATAAAATGGCACAGGCACTTTGAAAACAATATAGCACTGTCTTGTAAAATTGAACTTGTACCTGCTCAATGAACAAGCAGTTTTCTTTAAGGCATATAACCTAGAGGAAAATTAGTATGTGTTTGTAGTAGCAAAGCTGGGAAATACCCAAAAATCCATTGGTAGGAGAATAATATACTGTAGTACTTTCACACAATGCCATATAAAACAGTAGTGAAAATGTATGCTCAAGTTTCACGTGATAATATGGAACTTGATAAATCTTAGAAATGTAATATTGAGTGGAAAAAAGCAGGTGCAAAAACATATGTCATGTATTCTATTGTATAAAATTCAAAAACAAAACAATCATTTAGGAAAACAAACCCATGTGAGAAAGCGATTTAAAAAATGCAAATGGCTGTTTCTGAGGACGAGGAGGAAGATGATGGTCTTGATGGAGAGACACAGATTAAAGAGTATCACAACTGTTTTAGTATCACAACTGTATCTTGTTTTATCACACAAGAAAACTCATAGGAGTTTTTCTTATGATTCATATTTTACAAAAGTGTTGCTTGTATTCTTCTGTATTTTGTACATGTAGTGCATTAAAAATTTTTTTTTAATGTTAATTTTTGAGAGAGACAGAGCATGAGTAGAGGAGGGGCAGAGAGAAAGGGAGACACAGAATTTGAAGCATGCTCCAGGCTTTGAGCTATCAGCATTGAGCCTGACACAGGACTTGAACTCAACAATCTATGAGATCATGACCTAAGCCGATGTCAGTCACTTAACCAACCGAGCCACCCAGGTGCCCCCAAATAGTGCATTTTTAAGAAATGTAAACTGATAATTTTCATATTGGTCAAGGGACAACACATGAAGTGTATTCGTGTGATAGTGTGAGGCCTTCCGATCTTTTTGTGGTTTTTACCTAACATAATGGTGTTTCCTGCAGTGTCCTTGGCTTTCCTGTGTGGCCTGAAGCACGAGGAAGAGACCTGTGAAGCCTCCAGCTGCACCTATGTGCAGTGTGATTTGACTGTCACCGTGGGGACAGAGAGACTGCCCCAATCATGGCCTTACCTGTACGTTTGTGAAGAAGGTCCCCAATGCCTCTTGGCACCAGATCATTGGACAGAGTCAATGTTTCCATGGTTCTCAGGCCTCTTCATCAGGTAACCCTGTTCTCTCCCTCACTGACCTTCCCCACAGATGCATGGCCAATGGACAGATGGAACCATCAGGAGCTGCAGGCTGGGTGGACATGGCCTCAGGGGCCTACCACTCTTGTTAGAGGGACCATTCCATTGTGGATTCCAGCCAGCCTGCATATCAAAGCATCTCCTGTCTTTTCAAGTGTTCCAGAGAACATCTGAAAAGTCTGCCCAGTAAACAGCTCGCTTTGTTCTTGCTCAGATTTTAATATTTATCTTCCGATCCAAAGCAACATCTGGTGAATGCCAATGGGGAAAAAGATTAGACATTATGAAAAACAGAAGGCTCTTTTCCCCTTTCCTTTTTCTTTTCTTTCCAAACAGATTCACAAGTATGAAAAAAAAGTCATAGAGAAATCCAGCAGATTGCACAATGTTTATTCAAAAGAAGGGGGGATGTGCAGGCAGAATTACTGTAGACCTAGGATTTAGAAGCCATAAGCTTATAAAGAATTTTTGAACTTAGAAAACAAACAAATAGCACCACTTTCCAGGTAAAAACCCCTTTTCTAAACAAATTGAAGGAAAATGTGTTATGTTGGTGACTCAGGACGGCCTAATTTCCACTAGCAATTCTTTTCTCATGCAGCATGTAATTTCAGCACTGAACATCACCCTGCACTCTTCTTGATTTCTTGTCTAGATAGAGTGCTTATACCTGATGTTTTAATGAAGGCCTATTTGCCCATTCAAAAATAAAACTAAATAAGATTGATATCCCAGAATGAAAGAGGTAACGAGTCCTTTTCATGGCAGGCTGACTTTTTGATGTCCTAAGACAGCCTGTGTTTTGGTATGAATTCATCATAGGAAGAGAGGCACCTCCTGGGCTAGTTGTTTTCCAGAAGCTGTGAAGAACCCTGCTTAGATCATACTGGAAACAGTGTACTGGAGGTTGTACTCAGGCAGGACTGGATTTCAGAACTCATGAACGCTAGATACCAAGAAGCACATATCAGGTCCTGGCTCCACTGAATTTTGAATACTTCACCAAATTCCCAGGGTTCTCCTTTGAGGTTCTTCTATGTCCTTCTCTACTGCAGGAGGTCTCTGAGGGAACTGAACCTTAGATCCTATTAAAAAGTTATGCTGTTTCTATTGACATTATTTGGCAATATGCGCTGATAAACTTAAAATTTTTCATTTGCCGTGTTTCAGTAATTTCACTTCTAGGGATTTTAAGAAAGCAGTTAGAAGTATGTAATACTTTGGAAAAACTACATTTTTTGAAGTTTTAGTTATAACAAAAAATCTGAAATGAAGTGTTTAATAATAAAGAATGAATCCAAATGCTAATATACCAAGATCCTTTAAAAATCACGACACAGAAAATTAGAGGAGGACAAATATCCTATGACTTCACTCATATGAGGACTTTAAGATACAAAACAGATGAACATAAGGGAAGGGAAACAAAAATAATATAAAAACAGGGAGGGGGACCAAAATATAAGAGACGCGTATATATGGAGAACGAACAGAGGGTTACTGGAGGGGTTGGGAGGGGGGTGGGCTAAATGGGTAAGGGGTGTTAAGGAATCTACTCCTGAAATCATTGTTGCACTATATGCTAACTAACTTGCATGTAAATTTTAAAAAAATAAATAAAAATTAAAAAAGTCATGATGCAGAATATTTAACTGGAAAGGGAGATGCTTACAATATGTTGGGAAGTAAAAGGTACAGGTCACAAAATAGTGCATCAATTTAATCTTAAAGGTGTACATATAATATATGTGTTTATACATGCATATAACAGGTGATTAGAAAAAAGACTGGAAGGATGTAGTCTAAAATGTTGAATGCCTACCCTATGTGGTTGGAGTATTACTTACATCTATTTATTGGGTTTTTGTGTTTTTTTTTTAGTGAACATATACCAATTTAATAACCAGAAAACACATAACTATCAGAGGCCAGAAGGACAGAAGTAGAGTAAGAAGGAAGGAAAGTTCTCTATGTGAGCTTGGAGAAGTATTTAAGGTCTTGGAGGCCAAAGTAAGGAGTTTAGAGTTTAGATTCTATTCTAAGGAAACAATATCTTTCCAGAGTCACACAGTCTAGACTTGGTAGTGTCAGGACTGGAAACCAAGCCTCTGAATGACAGTGTACTTGGCCTGATGCTGTGCCTTCAGCATCAGTGATGGGAGCCTGGGCTGAAGTGAGCAGTTCAATGATATTCCAGAACCACCAGAAGCAATTTCAGGCTAACTGAGGGAGACATAAACACTGCAGATGTTTTGTTGCCTGTCCTAGATAGCGTATGCAAGATTATCTGCTTACTTTGGGTTCTGATCAGACCAACTGAAAGAACCATAGATTAGGAGTCAGGAAACTTAGGTTCTAGAAATCTTTTTGCCACCATTGGGACCAAAACTGTTTATCTCATTCCCTCAAAATAAATATTTGTGTGTCTTTCTGCACATATATGTTCTGTGTGTGTGTGTG